AGAGGGGAAAGAGAGAGCGACATCCCCGGCATTGTTCTGATTGACCCAAAATGAGAAAAGCACAATGCTGAAGGGAGGTGAGGAAAGGGTAATAAGAGCCATTCAAGCCACACAGAAATTGAAGAGTGCCTAAGCTGGGCTTGCTTTTCTCCGCTCAAAGTGCCCAGGATCGAACACAGCAGAGAGATGCAATTCAAAATAAGTGTGTGGTGCACGGGGGTGGGGAAAGAGGTACACAGATTACTGCACACACCATTCGGAGACACCCACCCTACCCCCCGTCCTCTAACTCTGTCAGACTCACACATAGATTCCAGTCACCAATGAGGGAAAGAAAGAGCAAGGACAGAGCAGTACCATTTCATCCACCTTCCTCCCCTGGCCTTCTTGAGTGACATCACCCACTCCATTAGCTAGGAGGTTTTGGAACATGAAACAACAGGTATAGCCCTGGACCATGGGTCAGTTTGGGGTTTAATTTGCAAAGATCTATACAGAGAATTCCTGGGGGTCCCAGCAGGGCTAAATACCAGGAAAAGAAGCTTTCCCAATCAGCACTGAAAAGATACTCTCATGACACCCTGATTCTACTGTTCAGAAATTCACTGCTTAGTATTTGCTACAAAGTTCCAGTGTCGCATTCTATGGATGATGGAAGTGACTATGTAGGAAGACACAGTTTAAGGGGGAAAATAATTGCTCATAATACATCAGTGAGAGAGAAGAATAAGGGAACAGAACTTTTTTAAAATAGATACAAAAGAAAAAAAACCCATCCGTATGTTTGTTACAGGAGCAGGCTGGGAATTGTAGTTCTGATGAATTAACAGTGTAATACACACATTCAGGGAGTAAAATCCTTTTGGAATACAGGAAGGATAAAATCCACATTTTAAAAACAAAATAGATATCCTTGCATAAAACATACTTGATTACAAGCACCGAAAGAATGGTAAGAATTCTCTGTCTATGCTCTTTGTTTATTTTGACCCTACATTCAGCTTGCTCATTTGGGGTCATAATAAATATATTTTATTATTCACTATTTATACTGCTGTGGCCTCTAAAAGCCCTAATTCAGCTCCTTTGTGCCAGGCACTATACATACATATGATGTAAAGACAACTGCAACCCCAAATAACTGAAAGGAAACCAGACTAGTGTCCATCCCTCTCCGGTTCTCATGTATTAGCACAAGCCTGCAACATTTAAAAATGCAGGGGAATGTTTTAAACCAAATAAAACTATTTGCATGACAGCCTAATTCAAAGTCCTCTGAAGCCAATGGGAAGCAGCAGGAGATGAACTTCAGGGGACATTGGATCAGACAAATTAAAGGAAAAGCAATAGATTAAAATATTTCTATTAACATTATGTTTTATAAAGACCTTGAAAATTAAGACAACCTGTTTCTTTTGATAAATTCCATATCACCATTAGGAATTAAAGGTCAAAGAGATGAGTAATGTGGATAATTTATGCTGGTCACTATCCGGAAGAGATTACCATCCATTTATAAGCAATTCCAACAAAAACAGGTTTAAAAGTAATAATTATAAGCACTCCCTTGCAAGTTTAGCAGCTCATATAATCAACGTATGATAGCTCGAGAATCAAACTTACAAGAAATAAAGCCATTCTGCTCCCTGTTAAACCACTAAATATCAGAGACTTCAGTCTTGTGATGTGCCAATTTCTTATTTCTTGTGAGCCCTCAAATCTATGTAATTTCCTTCGTTGAAGTCCTGTCTCACTGGAGGATGAAACCATTGTGCCTACTCCGTATTCAGTAGCATCCCCATTCTAGCTAGACTCATATCAGTCAAGCATGGTTCTGTACTAAGTAAAACCAAAGTGACTGTGGCTAGCATGATTTGAGGCTTCACTGTGGCTTTGTTTGAAGCAGTTGTATTAGCAGAACCTATGCTGGAGCCAACCCAGCAGGGTATTATGTGTCCCATCCCTGTTTGGTCATAAATATGGTTACAAGGCTGAGAATAAATGGGGCCATAGAGAGACTCCTACACCACTGCGGGTAGCACAGGAAATGTGTAGGATAAGAGATGCCGCACATGAATTTCTAAACAAAATCTCCCCAATTCAGGCACATTTACAACAAACCCAGGAAGAATAAAACATCCCACAACCAACCACAGCTCTACAGGAACAGAAGCCAAAAAACCACTGAGCTTGTCTGAGGGAACGGTACCAATAGATCCTGAAGTAATGCCACTTACCCTTGGACTGCTGAGGGGGCTGGTGGAGAGACCAGATGAAGCTCCGCTGATCGACCGAGACCTGAGTGGACACAACAGGAAGAGATGGCCCTCAGAAACCCTGGGCAAGGAACATCCACGGAGCACCCACCACTGCATGCACAGGCATGAGGTGAGGAGTGGAAGGGAGGCTCTCAATAGGCAAAATACCTGTCTCTTTCCTTACACTCTATCACGACACACCTTTCACCTCTCCCACCCGCCTAATAAAACTCTAAAGAAATTATGTTCACTCAGAGAGGACCCCATCACCCCAGAGGTCCTGTGTTAGCAGAGCTATGCAATGCCACCCCCTTCTGGGTCAGGACTACTTGCACATGGCCGGATACTGTTTCCTCCTGGGGTACACTAAACAGACCATGGCAAAAGCAGTCATCGTAAGCCCACTACCGGTGGTGAGAATTACTATCTGCAGAGTCTCACTTGCTGTGCCAGAAATAAAGACCCCAGAGATACAGAAAGCCACTGTCTGTGTAACTCACAAAAGCAGAAACTTCTACTGGGTGCCAAAGAAGGTTAAATCTGCAGTGCCCCAGATGCAACTATCTTCTCAAATCAGAGAACTGTCCCAGTGAAACCAAAGGTCTGGTCTATGGTGACTAGTTATTCAGTGCTGCACTACCATATCTAACTTCACCATGGAGCCCTCCCCTGGGCTCTCCAGTGAGACTTGCATCTGACATCACTGATCTCTGCTGCCCTCTGAGGAACTTCCCTTGGAGGACCACAGGCCCTTCTACCCATAGGAGTGCTCCTCACTTTGGAAACACTCCTGTTCACCTGAGTGGTTCCTCTCATGGAATCATCAGGCCTTTCCCCACCAATGAGATCACTCTGTTGGAGCAATGATCCTTCTGTCCATTGATTAAATTCATACAGGATCAGTGTCAGCCTGTCATTCATCGGGGTCCCATATGGTATAATGGATCATTTTAACCATCATTGAGCTCCTTCATGGGACCGCCTGATGTTCTGCTCACCAATGAGGTCACCCCATGGGCTCTCTAGTTCTCCTGCTTGCTGATGAGATTCCCAATTTTGGGATCAATGGCCCTCATGCATTCAAAAAGTCCATTCTTTGGGACCAATCTGTCCTTCCCCACCTGCTGTCAAGGTAACCCACACAGAATCATCTGTCTTTATGCTCACCAGCAAAGGTCTCTGCAAAAACTGTCCACTGATAACAACAATCAAAACATACAAACACACTAGGCCAAAACCAGAACTGAAAGGCCATGCAGACCACACACATGAATAGCTCAGCAATGGAACTTCTCAAGAGCGAAGAATGTGACTACATGAGCAGTGACAATAACTGTCCCTCAGAACAGAAAATATTTCATGTAGCTTTTGAGCAAGTCCTCCCATGTTCGACTGATCCAGAGTGTTGACCATCTCTAGAGGTAGCTGCTTTGAACCCTCCTCAACTGGAAAGATTGATTATGTTGAAGAACAACAATTTTTGAAGGAGAAGACTATACTGGAGAATCAGCTCAACCAACAAGTGACAAAAAAAAAAATCTCTGTTCACAATCAGACCTATCAATGTGAGTACCATATATCTGTGTGCACACATATGGTGTGTGTGTGTGTGTGTGTGTGTGTGTGTATACAAGCATATACAGCTATTAGGGCTGGCAATTAGTTGCAGCTAATGCATGAGATTAATGCAAAACAAATTAACTAAATTAAAAAAATAGTTGCTATTAACTGCAATTTAAATCACATTGTTAAATAATAATAGAATACCAATTTAAATGTATTATACATATCTTTAGACTTTTTTCTGGAAAAAAGTGTACAGTATTCTGAAACACAAAATGTACTGTACTCACTTTAAATTATTTTTATTACAAATATTTGCACAGTAAAAAGATAAATAGTATTTTTTAAATCAAATATAAGTACTGTAGTACAGTCTCTTTAATGGAAAAGTTAAATTTACAAATGTAAAACAGTTTCTTATATAACTATATTCAAAACCAAAACAATGTGAAACTTTAGTGACTACAAGTCCATTCAGACCTTCTTTTTTTTCAGCCAACTGCTAAGACAAAAAAGAGTGTCTTTCTATTTCTGGGAGATAAAGATGCCTTTTTCTTATTTACAGTGTTACCTGAGAATGAGAACAGGTGTTTACATGGCATGGTTGTAGCCAGAGTTGCAAGGTATTTATGTGCCACATATGCTAAATATTCATATGCCCCTTCACGCTTTGACTTGTAGCTCTAAAGGTGAACTGAAATATATTACTTTTATCTTTTTAACTATATATATATATATATAAAGTGAGCATTCTACATAATTATCTTGTAATTGAAGTCAATATATTTGAAAATGTAGAAAAAAATCCCAAAACATTTATAATCAATTTAAAATTGTATTTTATAATTATTAGTGTGATTAAAACTGTGATTAGTTTCACCTATTTTCAATCCTGAGGTTGAGATATTTTAAATCATTTGACAGTCCATTAGTTATGTGCACATATACATTTTTGATAGTGTGTGTTTTGTAAGTATGAACAGCCTTCTAGAGAACACACAGCTAATTTAGAGTTAACTGTATCACTAATATATAAGAATAAGATTATAAATTTAGATTCGAAATGTTTTCACTTCCATATATTCTTAATAATAAATTATAACATTGTACAATGAGCACTGGAAGAAGGTTTAAACTAACATACAATAAACCCCATTCTGACAGTTTGTGTAGAATACAGAAACTCTCCATGGAATTTATTTCTTGCATCTTAATGTAGTCCATCACTGCATCTATACAAAACAAACTGGCCCAAACTTTGCATTTTCTTTTACCAGTGTAAACCCACATTAACTCCATTGCAGACTGTGGAGTTCTTCTGGGTTTACACCAGTGTAAATGAGAGCAGAATATGGCCTTCTTTATACTTGTGCTCCACTTTTGATGGACTGTTTTTATGTTACCTTTCCCTCTTTAGGCAACAAAGTACCTGGCCTTTTGTTCCTCTCAACATTCAATCATGGTTGGAAGTTGATTTTTAACATTCACCTGAATTTCAGAATAGTTGCTTAAAACTTCTCCGTATGTTCCTCTTCCAAAAATTGTGATTTCTCCCATTATTCCAATTTTCCCCCATATTAAAAAAGCAAATTGTGCTTTATATGGGGCACAACACAGCTGGCCCCATCTCCCACCCCTGTTCCTTAACACAAACAGTGGTTTTCAAGAAGCTGTAATGCAGTGAGCTTCCATCTATCTCAGGAGTCTGATGCAGGGATCAGAAGACAGGACTAGTATAAAATCTCATGTGAAATGCATTCAGTATTCACACTATTGCTAATTCAATTAGCCTTATTTCCACAGAGTGGCTACTGGTGATTTATAAAGAAACAAGTTAAGAGGTAAAGTGGTCCCTTTAATGTATCTTGACTTTTCCACATTGGAAATTCTGCTTGGGGTCAAAGGGCAGAGTTTAAGGGAGCTATGGATCAATTTTTAATGCCTTCCAAAAAAAGAGAGATGACTCTTTTCAAATCTTTCCCCTTCACATAAAAGGGAAGGACCATTTCCATAATTCTCTCCTGTTTGCATTCCTCTTTCTAATGAGTCCCAGCATTTCAGTTTACCAATGGGATACAATTCCCAAGTGGCTATGAAATTTCACTTGTGGCAGGCTGTTCAGCTCTTACAAATAAAATAAAATAAAATGTCATTGAGTAAGAATGAGAGATTTTTCCCCTCCCAAGAAGACCACCTTCCTTGGGAAATCCATGAATCCAGCTTGTAAATCTATGGCAGAAAGATTATACACTGTTTTGCATCAGTCAGCCAGACACAGAATCAGAGCAGGGGCCAAGCATCTGTCATGAAAACTGGCCCAATGTTGCACTGTTACGATGAAAGCATAGAAAGTATGTAAATATCTGCTTTTATATATTATCGTATAATGAAAGTGGAAGTCCCTGCAGGCAGTATATCAGCATCGAAGACTCCAATCGTACTTTGTGGGAAAAAAGGAGGAATATGGCAAACCACAGCAGAACAAATACCTTTTCTCTATTTAGCTGAAAATATCCATTAGTGTGTAACCATCTTAAAGTCTCTAGAGACATAAAGAGTCATTGGAAGGTAAGTATTATTTCTATAATTACTCAAATAATCCCATACCTTATAATTAATAATGCCTTACATTTCTATAGATTCCCAGATGCAGGTAGTTCCCAAAGTATTTTTACAGAGTGCATGCACCAATATTCTGTGCATCACGTTTTGGTCCAAACTACCCTGGAAGCGCTATATTGGCACAAAGCTACACTGATGCCTTTTTCACAGCCTTGAGTGATGCAAGAGAAATGGACTTAAGCAGCAAGTATTATCGCACAAGAGAGTCTGTGGTGGTTTACCACTACCCTAAATAGGTGCAGGAAAAAGCCTTTCGGGTGGCATTTTCAAAAACATCTAAATCAGGAATCACAACCTAGTAAGGGGGCATGGAATGTCAGGCACTGGGTCTCCTTGCTGCAGGGTGATCAGCGGGGGGTGCTAAGGCAGCTACCTGCACTGCACTGCAACCCAGAAGCTGCCTGCAGTAGGCCCAGCTCGAGGAAGGGGGGGTGAGGGTAGGTGGAAGAGTGCATAGGGCTTCACACACTGCCCCTGCCCTGAGCACTAGTTCTGCAGTCCCATTGGCATGGAAACTGCTGTTGGCTGTTTCTGTGGCACAGCCTGGGCTGCAGTGCCAGGAGAGGCAGGAAACTGCCTTAGCATTCCCACTGCACTGCTGACTGGGAGCCAGTCAAGGTAAGCCCCTCCTGTCCTGGCCCTGACTCCCCCCAAAGCCTGAGTCCCCTCCTACAGCCCAAAGCACTCATCCTCCGCCCTATCCTGGAGCCTACACTCTTGTCAAATTACATTGGGCTGTGGTCATCAACAACTTTCTTCAACTGGGTCATGAGAAAAAGTGTTTGAAAACCACTGATCTAAATAATTTTTTAGGGGCACATATCCTGATAATTTTCATAGGGCCTTCTGCTCCAA